AGTTATGTTCACTGACTAAAGGTACTCAAGACATACCACTGTGGGTACCACCCCAGTGACAAGAGGGATACCACCCCAGTGACATTTTAGTACCTTTTTATCTAAGACTGCGCTCACTTACATCTACTTGCAAAAATGGTAATTTAAAAGAGCGACCCGTTAAGGTTTATGGAACCAAAAGTGGTTCCTCCGTGGCATCGCTCCAAAGAACTCCTTTTGGCACCCTTATATGTATGTATAGAATGATCGGAAACGTAACCTAAGCAGGTTTTGAAATTATTTAACCTACAAATCAGAATATCAGTGTGAGATACATTTCCAACATACAATAACAGTGGCGAAATATGAAGTGAAATTCTGCTTTAACTGAACTTTAAACTCTGTGTCTCGCTGAGGTGAGTAAGGGCAAAGGGATGCTAATGTCATGGTGGCTTGTCACCAGTAGTTTATCAGTTATCAGTAGCTTTTCTCTCCGTTAGAACAACAGTAGATTGCTGCGCTGATCTCTAAGGGTGAGTGTAAAGTTTCAGTGCACTCAAGTGTAAAACTGAGCTGACAGGAGTTTATGAACTGCAAAGCTGTCAAAGTCATGGAACAAGCCCCCACAAGCCCCCAGTGATAGGGAGAACAGGTTGCCCCAAGGCCGTCCTGCAGCCCTACTGACACCCGCTTACTTTCACACACCGTACACACACACTTAAATGTCACTCTTATGCAAATAAAGGTCAAAGTAGTAGTTTCTCTCAAAGTCTGACACAAATTTATTTATGTAGTTAACTGTCAGAACCTTTGTCTTCCCACAGAACATCCTCATGATCTACAAACCTCATTCTTCACTGAGTTCATTTCTATGCCATTGAGAACCTCAGTGACAAGAAATCTCTGATTGTTCCACTGATTTATCACTGTCAAAACTTTGTTTTCATATCAAAAACTCCTTTTTTTGGTATAACTATTTGAAACAAATGGCTCAAAATTGCTTACAAAATCTCACTACATTGATGTTCATTAAAGGGGAATTCCAATTTTAAAAAATGTCTGCATAATTCAATCTTTGAGATGTAAGTAAAGTCATTTAGAGTGGTTTGCTGTGAGACTTCTTTACAGTAGTGCTGGTATAAACCAGAGGTTGCAATGTCTACAACACTAATATAGCAAACTACATTACCAATACTATACTAATACTATCCAAACAACCAATGAACCTACCTGTGTCTTTTTAACTTTTATACATAATGTTGATGTTGGTAAAACTGTGGTAAATTGGGGAAAAAAAAAATTTTCAGCACCGCTTTGCCGTACAATGCCCTGCATGTACCTCTTCACCACAAATGGTTTTCAAAAATGATGTTTTAGGCCAAAACCTCACCTCGAAACTATCAAAAAACAATGTCTCAGTCATTAGGAATAAGAAAACCACTTGATGCAATAACTTTCTTTGAGGTAGCTTTTAGAGGCATTTAACACTTTAGACATCTGGTTCCCATCACCATAAACCACTTTGATAAGTTTCTAGAACTGAGTATTTTCATGTAATATGACAATATTTATTATTATTGTGATAAATAATGTCATAATACAATAGGCTTTCCTGAACATACTGTGGATATCATCAGCACTTGTAGAACACAGACCAACTGTATGTTTTAATTATACTTAGTCCTGTTTAACTGGGTTTAGTGCAACACAGTGTACCAAATATTGAATAAAAATCATTGTATTTACAGTGTTACAATTAATAGTTTTTTTTTTAATGTAGCACTAGTTGTCCTTTTTCTGTTCCAACTTATCAGATAAAAATAAATATTGTGACATATGTATTGTGAAAATTTCAGTATCACAATATATTTTTGCCATATCATGTATTTCACATCTTTTCACATTGTGTATTTTTGCCATATTCTAGTATTTCACATCAACCCACTCTGAATTACCTTTCTTTCATTTTAATGATTTAATTACACATATATTTAAAAAAAAAATGGAATCATAACATCATTTTATCATTTACTGCTTTTTTCTGCTGTGCTTCTGCTGTGTCACAAATGGTGTGCAGGGTTTCCTGAAAAGAGGAATGGGACACAATGTAATGAAAGCAGTTCACTTCTCAGAAGCCTTGCAGTAAACTGTACCCTCTGCTCTGGTTGGTGAGGAGAAGGAACACCTCTCCATCACTTGTCAGGGGAGTGAGTGAGTGGGTATATGTCTTATTGTCTCACTATACTGAGAATCATTGCTCAACAGGAGCTGATTATATCAATAAATCACCTACACCTGCTTTAACACCAGCACCTGCCTGCAACAAACGCTGCTCTAGATAGATGAGAAGAAAGTGAAAGAAAGAGAAACAGAGAAAGGGAAAGATGCAGCACGTGTGTGGGGGGATTAAAAACGATAACATACCAAGTTTGATTTATGACAAGAGGTTTTGAAAGAAATGGAACAAGCAGTCGTTTGCACCTGTTTAAACCAAATGTAATTAACTGCAGGCCCTGAGAGCTTTGGCACTGGAACAGCAGTTATATTTCAATAGTTTCCAAACCTGGTTCTGCACATTTTAATATTTTCCTACGGCTGCCTTGTAAATAAAAGACTTATACAGTGTTGAATCAAAACCAAAACCCACACATTGATTTTGGTGATGTATTCAAAATTTTTTGCCCCATTTAACTGTTTTAGGAAGCCACTTTTTTAATACAAATTTTGTTGTGTTTGAACTATGGGTTTCAAAGGTTAACTACCTTTGACAAAATGTCATTTTATCTGATATTAGTAGCCTATAACACACACAAATGTATATACAGTCATATGCAAAAAGTCTGAACACCCTTGTCAATTGACATGTCTTGTTGATTTTCTGAGTGTGAATGAGTTAATGCATCCTCATCACAGAACAAATGTAAATATGACCATTTTTCTGCAAATTTTAGTAAGTTCAATATATTAGACAAAAAAAACTGTAAAATGTGTCATAACTTTTTTTTCATACACATTGTATTTTTTTTCAACATATTAAATTCAGCAAACAAACAGTGATTGTGCAATAAAAACTGCAGAAGTGTGTTCACTGTAGAGCACTTACCTTCACTAAGAAAAACAAGCAAATATATCTTTATTTATCAGGGGTTCTCAAACTTTTGCCTACAACCGTATTTGTTATTTTATATATAAACAGAAAATTAATTTAATGTTTTAAATTGTAGTATGCAGGAAATATAATGCAGAAGCCTGCACAAAACCATGCAATCTAATTTATATTTCCTGCCCCAGAACACCTGATTAATCTCATAAAGGGCTTGAAAATGACCTGATGTGCTGGATCAGGTGTCTCTGGGAGGGGAATAGTGAGGAAACACATGTGGGACAGAAGTCCTCTGTGGGACTCATTGATTATAATGGAGTAAAGGGGCTGTTGCTAAAAAGTGAGGCCCATGGTTGCTTTTTTGCAACATTTACAAAAACTGTCTTAAATTTTACATGCATGTATTTTATTTATTCGCTGTAACGTGTTAGGAGTGAAGGGAAAAAAAAACACTGCTCAAATGTTCGCTGAAAGTTGCTAAATCTCTTCCAAAACATGGGACAGTGGTGTCAACAGATGTAGACATGTTGTTTGACTTTGGCATGCTTTGCAATTTAGAATACTGATTTTTTTTATTCACCACAAATGATGCTACAGTTTAAAGTGTGGACTCTTGGGTTACATAGACTCAGTAACCTGCAGTCAGAAAAAAGTAAAAACAAAGTGCTTTAAAAATCTGCTGCAATTTCGCGATGGGGGTCTCTGGCAGTTAAAAATTTAAGGTGTCAAAAGGGGTTTTGGAAGCAATGCCATTAAAGAACCACATCTGACTCCTTCAAAAAGTACTATTGAAAAGAGCAGGACAGCGAGCGGCCTTGGACCACTTTTTGAGTCTGGAGCAGTCATGAGGGAGAGGTGTAAGCGCTAAGGGTGTTGTGGTGGCGCGTGCTGATGCCAGAGAGACGAGGGCAGGCGGCAGGTGTGCTGTTGACACAATAAACACTCGCAAGGACCGTGCCAAACACCAAATAAGACTTTTCAACTTAAAACTTCAGATTCTAAGAAGTGCAGTATCTGCGCCCTGGTACAGAAGAGGAAGTGTACTAACACATGAACAACATCAACTGCATGATTCAAGTGCTTTGCCTGCATCCTCTGTTCTTTTCCGTCTTACACAACCAACCTAGTACGTTAAGAAGGTCAGTTGAGCGATGGAAAAAAAAGAAGGAAAAAGTGAGCAGATATGGGGAAGATGAAGGTAGACACAAAAAAGTGAGAGAGCGGGGTTGTGAAAGAGTACAGTATCTGCAGTGTTTTGTACGCCAAGCTTCTTATCATGTTTTGATTCATAACATCATGATCATTGGTGCATCACACATAATCACCCCCGTGAAAGACCTATTGTTATCTACGTACAGAAAGGACAGTTAGAGCATGTGCATAGCATCTAAGAAAAGACAATAATAGGAAAGGTCAAAATTCTATGGACATAACTCTGTCCAGCATTTTGGTTTCTTAGCCTCTTAAATTCTGAACCACACTTCAATTCCTCACTAATAACTTTTAAACCGACATATTCATTTACCAAATAGCTCACTGTACTTATGGGATACTAAGTCCTACGATTAATACTCGAATAAAAGGCCTGCAGTTTGCAGGGTTAAAAGCTTTTGCCTAATCTTCTAAGCCCAAAAATCCACAAAGAAAAGATGCTGCACAACCAAAATGACACTTGTAATCACCCTCCTCTGCCTTCCCTGCCCGCATTCAACAATGACCAAGTGTGTACACCAAAATACTGCCTAACTACAAAGACCATTTAGCAAACCGATGGAGCTCTACTGGCTGTGTTATTGTGCCCCTGGACACAACGAACTCAGGCGTGTGTATCTCAGAGGTGTGTGATGTTGAGAGTAAACATGTAAGCACAAGCCTGGCCACGTGGCCAATACGTCCTTATGACCTTCTAGATTCTGACCTCCATTCACCACGCAGGTACCCATCCACCTGATGACTTTATCCATATCACTGTTACAAGGCAGCCTCCATATCCAGAAAAAAGGTTAGCAAAAGTCATAAAGTTATGAAGTGAATATTAAAAAATTAAATCCATGGAAACAAACATCTGAACATCTGGCTTCCTCCAGGTCAAAACTAAGTTTCTTTCCCAATAGTGCAATAAAAAAGCATCATATGACTCCTTATTCTTCTCCAAGCCATGACTTTCATATGGTCTTTTTGTACAGGCCTTTTCTTTCTACTGATTCCATATTCACTCAAAAGTGTCATCTGCAAATGATTTGGACTGACAGTACTCCTCAACTACGCCATCATGACCTCATTCCAGTAAAAACAGCAATGTCATCCATTGTCAGTGTCCTGTCCTCAGCATTTTTGTCTTAATCCACACTTTCAGGAAAAATCTGTCAAAAGTGAGTAGCCCCTCATCTCACATGTTCCATGATAGCAGTGCTGCTCCCAGGGCCTGAAGTGATTGAGAGGCTGACGACTCCTCTCTTGTGCTTTTATACATGATTTGGGTAAAATAAATGCTAAACACAACAAACATCATGGGACCAAGAGCATTAATGGATATTTCAGTGTGAACTATTTAAGATGTCAACACAGAGAAAACAAGCACCAGGGCCGAGAGAAATGAAAAAGAGGGACAGTGGGGTCTGTTTATCAGTTTCAACAGCTAACACACACTGTTTCCTCACTAAACACAGAGGCTTTATCCCTACTGTACTCACCATTTCTTCATGAACATGACTATGTGTGAAAGAGAACATCACAGCTGAAGATCAGGAGACAGTGGAATATTTAAAATGTAAAAGTATTAAATCTGAACTACTTAAAACGAGTACCTGCACAAGAGGAATCGAGAATGGTGTAAATCAATGGCAGCACAGCTCCTCACTCTGTTCAATGCTCACGAACATGAATCGACTACGCTTGTTGCTAGAGACAATGCTGCCATCTTGTGGACAACCTAAGCACAGAGGAAAATGTGAAAGATAGACAGATAGAACTTTACTGATTGCTACAAATTGCTACAGTAGCAAGGCATATAATTGCATATAAACCTACGTATATTAGGCAGAAATAAAAATAGGAATAAAAACAGACACATAAATTAGGCAGAAATAGAAAAATAGACATAAATTAGAGTAAACCACGAGAGAGTAGGCATAAAGTATATCTTTTGCATAATTTCATAGCATATAAGACAGAAGTGGTTGAGGTAGATACGACATGATGAATATAAACATAACTAGGAGTAGCAGCAGTGTTTGCAGTATAAAGTGAGCAGTGAGAGTATCATTACAGGAGCAGATTATGATATATTGCACAGTGTGTATTAACAAGAGAGGAGATATAGTGATGTCACTCAGCACCCCACAATGGCTGTGTCATCAGAGAATTTTTCCAGATGACATGACTCAGTGTGGTACCTGAAGTCAGAGGTGTACAGGTTGAACAGGAATGGGGCTAACACAGTCCCCTGGGGTGCCCCAACACTGCACACCTTGTCTGAGACACAGCCCTGCAGTCGCACATACTGAGGTCATCCTGTCAGATAGTCCATTATAGTCCATAAGATAATAGATTCATCCACCTGCATCAGGAGAATACTAGAATACTTACCCTCTAAATAAAAAAAATACACATTGTCTTTAAAAGAAACACCATTAATGCTTGTTTATGAACTTTTTAAAATCAGCACACAGCATAGAAAGCTGTACTCTGAAAAAGAACTCTAAAAATAACTTCTTCATCAACCCTGAAGTTCATGTTGAAACCTGAGTAGACTGATAAACCAATGTGATTAGTCAGTTATTGATCTCAGTGTTACTGAGCTCTGCTAAAGCCTGAGTAGACTGATAAACCAATGTGATCATCAGTTATTAAGCTCAGTGTTACTGAGCTCTGTTAAAGCCTGAGTAGACTGATTAACAATATGTGAAATACTTGTTATTTGGGGTGTTAGTCGGCCAATTTACTCGCCATAGTGGTGCTGAGGCTGGCTTCAATGGCACTAAAATGTTCAGTTTAACAATTCTTCTGGAAATGCTTTTTCTAGTTTGGTAATGCGCTCTTTCTCACACCTATTGAGATTTTATCTCATCTAGTGGCTTTGGTTTGAGAAATGAGCACCATTTTAAACTCCTGGGAAAACTGGACAGGTTTTCAGATTTGCAAATATGCAACAGCAAATTGTAAAGTTTTTTCAGAGGTAATCTGAGCATAGTTACTGTTGCTAGGCTATAAATGACCAACAGGGTGAACTAATTTGCTACAGTGCCACCCCGAGGCAGACCAGTGCTGCATAGTTAGTTAGGAATTAAAAGACAAAAGTTTGCCAACTGTGGAGTAGAATAAATAATGGCCTTTCCCTGAATTTCTGTTTGAGTGTCTATTTTCCCCTAACAAACAGCATAATGTTATAAGTTTATTTTTCAGGGATCTCCTACCCTCAGAATTTTGATTTTGAGACATTCAGAAGGTCCAAGATATTAATTAGGAAGTCTTGGAGCCCCCAGGACCACCTGTATTTCACATCTTGCTGATAAACCAATGTGATTGAGCCAGTTTAATGTGGGTGTTAGAAAACTCTTTTGAGGGATGACTGAACTGATCAGTCTCCTCAGTAGTGGACATGTTAGAGGATTCTGAGGATTCTTTTCTCATCAAAACTAACCACTTTTTTCCAGAGCTTATGTTTATTTTCTTAAAACACTCAGAATTCACCCACTACCCATTTTATACTGTTTAAGTTAATTAACTTGGCAGCCTGGCAGTTATTAATGTTTACAATTCAGCTGATCCAACTGACATTTTCATTAACTATAACAACCCCGATATGCAACCATATTCAGTAGCAGGCCTTTATGTTGAGTGATGTAGCTCTGTTTATTAACTAGTCCATACAAACATGTATTTCTTTTTTCACTTGCTGTTAGTTTCAACATACTAGACTATCTTGCATTTTGAAGTGGGTTTCTGTGAAGCCTGTGTGCTTCATAGAGTTTAACTATCAAAACAATTTATGTAAATCAGCCAGCATAGAGTGGGCAGTGATAGATGCACATGATAACAGCCTGGAACTATCAGCAGCATTCTGGGTATTTCTGATTTCAGTTAGAAACACACATTTACTTTGTGTGGACTAAAAGGACCACTGACACAGAAATGAACCCTCCTTTTATATTAATACCCAGTGTATTTGCTTTTTTTAAACAAACGCAAATGCTATACCTCAGAAATTAGTCTCACACACACCTGCAAGAGCTGTCAGCATACAGTTGTAGAACTCGAAATGGTCATAGACACACACACACAATATGGCCAAAAGTATGTGGACAACTGACAATCTTGCCTATATGAACTTGTTAGACATCCCATTCCAAAACCATGTTTCAGTTCATGTGTCATCTTTGCAGCTATAACAGCCGCCACTCTTCTGGGAAGGCTTTCCACAGCAACAACAATGTATGTTCCAATTCATCCTAAAAGTGTTCAGTGGCGTTGAGGTCAGGGCTCACTAGAGTTTCTCCACACCAAACTCTTTTTTCAGTTCAGTATATTTTTAAAAATTGGTAGCTGTGTTGGGAAGCACCGATTATTTCAGAACAGAGGGCGCAGATTAAAAGAAGACTATACAACACAAAATTGTGAAATTCATGTAAAGACTTTACTGCAGAATATGTTTTCAAAATATTTCAGGACAAACAAACTCTGTAAGCATTAGAAATCAAAATATTAAGAATTTTTTCAAATAAAAGCAATAACAGCAGTGAAATACATATAGTATCTGACAAAATAACTACATAAAGTAGCAAATGCTCAATTCGGGAACACAAGCACATGCTATACAAAAATACAGCCAATGTTTCAACAGAAACATCAGAACAAAAAGGTCATTATCACAGCCGAATGGCCATTTTTTATCAGAATTCCCGATGTTTCTTCCCAAATAAAAAACCTTCAACTGTCCATGAAGCTCTGAAGAAGTGAAAAATGCCCATCAGGTATATTGGTGTGCTGCAACAAATGTTCAAATGACACCAGTGCTGGACAGCGCACTTAGATGGGCTTAGGAAGCGCAGAGACTTCTTCCAGACACTCATCATAAGCTTCCTTGTATTCATCATGGGGTTTAATCATGATCACGCATGTCGGCCGCTTTGAACCAGCTGAGGACCCCAAATCCTGGTCAGAAAATAAAGGCAGGTATAATAACAACTGCAGCAAAGACTAATGCATTAATACACTACTAGCAATCATGAAATGTGTCTGTTAGACGCATCACATTCAACTGGACTCTCAAAGGTCATGCACATCCTAAAACGTAGTCATAGGTGGGTGGAAAGCCATCACATTTACACCGTTATGTGTGTTCTAGTAAAATTGATAAGTATTTAAAAATGATGACACTCTAGAGAAGGATTTAGTTTTCACTCAATGAGAATGTAGGCATTAGCATTCAATTACTAAAACCTCTTAAGTTTAATTTCATTATATTTAGTTAGCGATGGCATCTGTACTGCGTTGTGATAGGTCACACCTCTGATTTTTGAAGTCTATCATTTAAGAGCAACATATCAAAAAAGAGAACAGTGCCTAGCAAACCTTAGTTCCTATGTTGATAGATGCTAATTGTACTAAGAAGCTCTGCTGGAATCAATAAGTTATTCAATTTTTCTCAACTGTTTTTTTAGATTTCTGAGCTGCCTCTTTTGTACATAAGGGAGAATTTAGATTTTTCAGATTTTTCTTCAAGGGTTCTTTAGTAAAAACAAGGGTTCTATTTAAAACTTCTATATAGCACCAAAAAGGGTTCATCTATTGTTATTAGTTATCTAGAGTTTGACTTCTTTTTTGGTGCTATAAAGAACCATTTCAAAAAGGTTCTATACAGAAACTTTTACTTCTACTTTAGTCAATACTTCAAAGAAGGAACAATACTTTTACTTGAGCATGGCTTTAGACTACTCCAAAACACAAAGCAGAAATGGCAACACTCACCACTTTTGAGGGAATGTAAGCATAGGGCAAGTTTCTGTCCTCACACATGACCGGTAAGTGGCAGTACACATCAATCGGAAGTGTGTCTCCAGCAAGTACCACAATCCTTAAAAAGACAAGACAAAGATGAAGCACAAGTTGGCTTCTCATTCGAATTTTCCACACACCTTCCATGTTTCTACATTCATTGTCCATTTTATCAGCTCCACTTCACATATAAGAGCACTGTGTAGTTCTTACAGACAGCAGTCCATCTGTTTCTCTGCATACTTTGTTTACCCTGTTCTTCAATGGTCAGGACCCCTGCTGAAGCTTTTGAACAGTGTCACTCTGTACTGAGAATAGTCCACCAACCAAAATCTAGCCAACAGCTTCCTGTGACCACTGAGGAAGGACTAGAAGATGACCAGCACAAACTGTATAGTAACAGATGAGCTACTGTCTCTGACTTCACATCTACAAGTTGGACCAACAAGGTAGGTGTGTCTGATAGAGGGGACAGCGAGTTTAAAAACTCCAGCAGCACTGCTGGGTTTAATCCACTCGTACCAGCACAACACACACAGCCACGTCAGTGGCGAGAATGATCCACCAACCAAATAATACCTGATCTGTGGTGGTCCTGACCATTCCATAACAGGGTAACTTAAAAGGGGGCAAATAAAGTATGAAGAGAATCAGATTGACCACAGTCTGTAATTGGAGAACTATAAAGTGCACCTGTATGGTAAGTGGAGCTGATAAAACGGGCAAAGCGAGGTGATGTTATGGCTGATTGAGGTGTGTGGAGATATCTAGAGTCCCGATGTATTCACATGTCTCACCACCACAGCCTTGTCTAGACATCTCCACAGTCTGGAACAAGGCTTAGGTGAATCTTACCCGGTCTCTCCTTTGTTTATGAACTTCTGTACTTCTTTTACTCCCCGGCGAATCTGTTTTAGCTTGGCAGCTGCAGAACAACATCACATTCAGAGAAAATACTCTAGTGACTCGGACTCTGTTACATTTTACAATTTTACGTTAACTTTGTAAAATTACAACATGCTAAATGGTCTCCTTTACCTTTTTTTACACATTTGTAGAGCTTCTTGCTCAACTTTCGCGAGGCCAAAGGGTTAGCGATAGGATTGATGTTGGCTATCAAATCCTGGTAGGATTTCTCTGTAGCTCCTGCCTCTTCTTCAGTAGCAGTCTTCTCCTTCTTTATCTTCGTCATGTTTAACACCGCAAACTATAGACGCACACAAGCGTTAATGCTTTATTCGCTGAATGTTTTGTTTCTTCTTTCGCCGCACAGCACACACGTGTTCGACCCGACTTATTTCTAACACCGCTCTTTCCGCTCTCTTGCTGCGCCTGCTCAGTCTGAGCACACTGCCCCTAGCGCAACGGAGGAACGGATGAACCTGCCGTAATAGCTGTTTATCGCTAAACAATCCGCTCATGGCGGAGAAGTACATGCAAAAATATACAGCACTTTTTCCCCCCAGATTTACCACTATTTTACCTTTACCACCTTTTCATTAAAAACGCAGGTTCACTGGTCATTTTGGATAGTAATAAAACTGTTATATTTGAATTGTAGACAGAGACCCCTGGTTCCTATCACCACCATGTAAAGCATTCAGAGCTGGCTTCTCTACAGTGATCTTGTTTACATCTCAGTGACTGAATTATGCAAAATTTTTAGAAAAATCTGTGAAATTCCCCTTTAAGTGATCTGTTTTCTCTTAATGTCAAGTATAATTTGCTCCAAAAAACACTGAGCCCACTTAGCTTTGCATTTCCCTACTTACACACACTCAGTCACCCTCAAACACATGTAAGAAAGTTACACAACAAAGTTTTTTTTAACAATTTTAATATCATTCCAACAAAAAAAAATCAGGAGTGATGCTACACTGAACATGCCACATATTATTTATATCAAACACAAAACATTTCCCATAGGCATCTGATTTTTCAGCTATTTCCAATGTTATTTCACAACTCACTACAAGGCAAAACTCTACTGGACACTTGACTGTGAAATATATACACTTACAAAATATTATAATCCATTTTCTATAACTTAAAAATATGTATATATATATATAAATACTGAACACAGAGGCATGTCCCTCTCTTTTTGATATGTACTTCATATGTACAATGTAAGGTGCACCAACACCTTATCTTCCACATTGTTATTTATTCATAGATTTAGCATGTTAGAGTTCACTCTTTGGGCACTGCTGATCTAACATTAAGGCACAAAAGAAGAAGCATCCCAAAACTGCCAAATGACCAATATTCAGTAAACCTTCACAAAAGGGGACTCATACTGTCCTCTCTCTCTCTCACAAACACTGTAATTGCCTTGGAAATGCAAATTGTAATTTACAGTACATAGATATTTTCTATCAATACTGTACTGCAATAAGACACACAGTCATACACTTCATTACATTAGGGTCCCAAACACAAGACCTCTACCAGTATAACAGAATAAGAAGAAATACCTCCCAATTTCAAGGTTCACTGAGGTATGATAGTTTTGATTAAGGTACCAGAAAGTGTAATGTAAATTCCAAACAGTGTGGGCTCAATTTATATATACACTACAGTCTTTATATCAGTGTTGATTTCCAAAAAAAATCTCATTCTAAAAAGATGGGACAATGTGCAACATTACAGAACTACAGAATATTTAAATAGATGCAGATGACAATGCGTAAAAAAGGACAATCAAGCAAAGACCAATGAACTACATAGCTGAACTATTATCTCAGAGAATGCTTCAGTTTTGTGAGCGTGTATCTACATGAATACTTTAAGGAAGGCAGAAATTCTACAAATGCAATTATGCAGCGTACAGGAGCTTCAAGTCAGGGTGGCACAATAAACCAAAACCTGTAATCAGGACTCCTGTGTCTTTACAGCGATGCCCACATGTGCATGCCGAATGGTGCGCCCGTGAAGCTTGTAACCATCTTGCTTTACCACAGCTATAATACCAGGCTCCACTCCATCTGCTGGGGTATGGCACACTATCTCATGGTCGTAGGGGTCATACGTGGACCCCACAGGACTCATTTTCTCCAGTCCATGCTTAGTGAACACCTCTTGCAGTCTGCCCTGGATTTGTGCCAGGCTCTGAGTTAGGTTCACTGTCTCGGCCCCCTCCGTAGTCTGCTCCAGCAAGTCCGCCACCTCCACTAGGTCACGACAGAAACTTTGAATCCCTATAGAAGACAGAATGGATTACAATCTTATCAAATTATCACTGTAGTTACAGCTGCACAATGATGACAAAATACTAGTACTGCGATTTTATTGCTAAATATTGCGACTGCAATATGCCTCACAATATAACAGCATTTTTGCATCAATAATGTTATTTGATGAAAGACTCGCTTGCATTATTTTGACCAAAATCATTTTTTTTTGTTGCATTACATGAACACCCACAGAAACATGATGCCTCATATGAATTTCACAGCCTTCTCCAATATCAGTAGTGCAATAAGGCAAATATCATGATATTGATTAACAAAAATATACTGTACAGCCCTATTAGTATTCTGAAAAAAAAATAGCCAATCTGGCAAAATATGGAGAGCTTTACCGAAGAGCTTGGCGTCTTCCACAAACTTCTGAGTTCTTCTTCGGACATTGTCTGAGTCAGCCAGAGCTCTTTTATATCTTTCCTGTGAAATAAACAGATAATAATGTTGTACAACTGCTCAATAAGGATTTCAAATTACAGTTTACATATGGAATGCTTACACCTTTACCTAACAGATACAATACACACTAATAAATCAGCAGTGTATGTATTTTCTTACTGTGCAGATGGACAAAAATACATTAAATGAAAGGCAGCAGATATAATGTCATGCCAGTGTTTTTATGCTAAGTGACTGACATATACAGCCAGGTCCTCTTATCCAATAAGTAACTTACAGTGAGATCCTGAACCTGCTGCTCTAGCTTGTGTGCCCTCATCTCCAACATCCTGACATGTGTTACCGAGTGATTGCGGTCATCATCGCCATCATCATTATGGCAGTCATCTCCTCTACTGCGCTGCTCTGCAGCAGTGCTGAAGAAGCCAATATGAGAGCTGCTGTAAAAAACAAACAAGTTTAATGTAGAAAAGTCTACTGACAACTTGCAGCCCCTTTCCTGTTGCATCTTATTGTACAGTAGCACATGGATCACAAACGTCACTCCAACTCTTCCCAGATGTACTGGATAGTCCAGTCAGGAGTTTATTATAAGTTACAGTAGTACATGAATGTATGTATGTCAGTACAGCACCTACACTAGTGCATTTCTAATTCCGTTAAAAGTAAGATCGTCTGGAAAGAAAGGCGAGATGAACAAACGAGCAAACCAGGGTATCTGACCTCGTTCTTGTTACACATTTTCAGTAGTAATAATGCGCCATATCAAACATCGGCTCTGAGATAAGGAAACTGAGATAGGAGTTTATTGTACAGCAGCAAATGAATTCATAGTGAAGCCCTCACCAGCGTCTGATATATTTATAAATGTAGCGGCTCAGGCAAACAATAAAATAGCGACCTCTCTAGTCAACCGGCTGGATGTAGAGTTATCACCGGACACGTAGCGCACGATTACTCGGGATGATGGCACGTGATCTCCCATATTAGTTAACCAGCTATCCTACAAATCTTCAGTATTCCCTGTAGCTAAATAAAACAGAATTTGCAGATATCTAACTGTCCGATTGCAATTAACTGTGAACATTAGCTGGCTAACTAATTAAAAGCTACTGTTCCACTTCTTAAGCTGTTTGTTTTGCTATATGTTACCTCAGTAACCTATTTTCACCACGTACAACACAGTATTTGCGTCTCTCCTCTAACACAGCCGTTTGAAGTCAAGTCTGGTATATTATATTTACAGCCTTCGGAGTCAGGTATATTAAAGCAGGCAAAACATCGATGTCCGCAGTACAGAAGCCGGATTGAGGAAACACCGTGTTAGCTTGTTTTGGCTAACGTTAAAGAAAAACAGCCTGCGGCCTAAAAACAAAGGCACGCTGCAGGGGTTTCTGTCACTTCAGCAGTATCTGGCTGACAAAACATTAACGTTTTAAACAGTAAGTGTTGCCTACAATAAGTTTAAGCTAACCAACATTACACACAGAGTCATAAAATCTGTCTAGCCGGCCACCCTTTAGCTAACTGTACATTAACGGCAATCGTGGCAAGCTTAACAGCTACGTCTGCTTCAGATGTAAACACTAATCAGCCAATCTGCTAATAAAATTAGTAGCTAAAGGTTCTCTGGTAGTTGAATACTGTGTCCGTACCTCGAGTTGTTCAGTCCGAGCGATAATCTTCGTACATCGATTGATTTTTTCCCACGCAAAGAGAGGAAGCGTACGGCCATTTCTTTTGAGCTACATGGGTTAGAGCGATACCCTTGACTGATAAGGCCCGGATCCAGTTCCCGCCCCCACCAGCAGGGTCCTTATTATAAACTGAAAATAAAACTATTACTGACAACATATCAACGTAAAATGAAATAAATTGCATCAAAAAGGCCACAAAAATAAGCTAATTGTAGACTTTTAGTATAAAATGGTGTGGAATGTTTTCCGTTTTCTCAGTGTTTTCGTCCTTGACATAATGCTGATTTACCACTAATGCAGCCAGTATTGTGTTGTGATCAATCTGAAGTCATCAGTCATAAAATCCTCTTGGTGTACATTATATAACGCATATAACCAGCTACAAATATAATGTGACGTCTAAAACTTAAGCAGAAAACTCAAATATATACAGTTGAAAAACATGTATAAAAAAAGCTATCTGTTAAAGGCAGTTGAAATACTTATCAACTAATGAACCCAAATCATAGTGGGTGTATTTAAACTATTATACTATATTTACTTCAAACATTAATGATATATTCTATGAAATATAGGAAATGTAGTTTAGGCCTACAAGCAATCTTAAATTATTATTTTGTATAGAAACAAATAATTCTGAAACATTAAGAAGTTTATTTTTGAGAATATAATGTTGTGTATTTGTAAATAGAAAAACAGCAATAAATCCAAATAGAAATCTTGTACAAAAGATGAACTTTATGTTTATCAACATTAAATCCGTGGTAGGACTTACTCCCTCATTTTATACTAGGCTGCAAGTTTTTCCTGAACACCCGACAATGTTGGGATTTACATGAACTGAAAGTTTTGCAATTCAGTGTGAATTATTTAAGTATTTAGCTATAGACTTGATCATCTCTAAAAAAAAAAAATCAAATATCTGAAAAGAGTAAATGACATAGTTGATATCCAGAGTTACTGGAAGTTTGTGTATTAAATGATACCATCTTTATTAACTTTTTTTTCAGTTTTCTGAATAATTAATTCTTAAGCAGTGTTGGATGATTTTATGTAAAATGCTTGCTTCTAAAGATAGATACAGTTCAATAAATTACCACCCTGTGGCATGGAATGAGACAAAGCTGCTTTTAGGGACTTTAATAAACCACAAACAGTATTCTCTATCAGTCATGCTGTTGTTTCCATCTTATGGTGAGACTTGATGAAGGGAACCCATGTAACTGTAACTTGCCTGGGACTATTTTAGTGCTCTGTGCTTGTTTGAATATTGTAGGTAGTGATGCAGTTCTATGGTTTACATGAACGCATGTGGTTGAACAAGACCATTTTGAAACCATGGATGCAGTTCGAGGCCCAGAGGAAGCCCCCCTTCTCCACTACATTCAAATTCATACCTCAAGAAAAGTCATGTGACCTATTTGAATTTCATGACATCACAGGTGTGAATCACTGATTTGAACCGATGAAGCCAGGTGAGTGTTGCAACATCTTCAGGATTGTACTGCAAGTCTTGTCACCTTGACTTCTATGACCTGGATGACTAACAACCTTCATAAACATTTTTTTATGAGTCTGTACACGCCCAATAGTTCAAGCTCATGGCTGCTATCACAGCCAACAGATTACAACTCATCTTTCTTTTTTTGTTCATGGAGAAACGTTTATTACTCAGCGACACAGAAAGTAACCAAACATCAACTTTTGAGATTAGTTCAACAATGGCTTTATGTACAAAGTAGAAATAAATAAATAGACCTGGTCAAATGAAGTGCTGTAGTGTAACAGAAAAGTATCAGATAAAGAGCTTTTTAAAGTACTGCGTTTTAGATATACGGTTTAAGGGTATAATAGAAAGACATGACACTGTACTTCAGTCCCGAAGTAGGGATTTAATAAACTTAATAAAAGTTCTGTATATAGACAAGAATTATTACTGCTTTATAAAATTTCCCTTTTCCCTTTTTATCACTCCCATATTTTCCATAAAAGTAAAGCAACTTACTTCTCCTTTCTATGATACAATTCACTTTAAACAGGTCCAATCTTATTTTTCCTTTCAAAAAAACTTTCAGGATCTTTCATTGTTTGTTCCAAAACAATTTTACAGCAGCTGTTATTCATTTAGAACTGATCATTTCGTTTGCGAGTACAAACTGAGTAGGTCCATATTTACAGTTGTATGAAAAAGTTTGGGCACCCCTGGTCGAATTACGTTTTGTAGAAAATAAGATAAAACATCCTCTATAGAGAACACACTTAAGCACATTTTAAAGCACAGGTACTAATTATTGGCTTAATTCAACATTTTGGGGAAAAATAAAACATAAAATGTGGCCTGTGCAAAAGTTATAGCACATTTAAATTTTATGTTTGATTTTTTTCCCAATATTTGAAACTCAGCAAATAAATAGAAATTTGTGCACTAAAACTTGCAGAAAAGCCTGTTTCTAGTAGAAAACAGGTTTATATAGCTGTATTCACACTGTTGTTGGCAGAGATGTGTAAATAGGAAGTAAACTGTCATGCTGATGCACTGCCACAGTAGACAGCATAATAACATGCTTTCACTGTCTTGATTCTTAATGGAGTTGCTCCAAAACATTTGAATTCCTCTTCAGACGTGTATCTCTCAGCATGCAAAATGACTATATACAGAACATCCGAATGTTTAAAAGAACATAACCATACACAAGCTGAGCACAAGAAAGCTGTTGAATCCATCCACGGTGCACTCTGCTCCACTGAACTCTTAGCACACGCTGAGTATCGGATCAGACTTCACAACTGAAGTCTCTTCAAACAAATTACAGCATGGATACCCCAGACGACTCTGATCATCAGTCTTTTTAAGAGGAGTTTAATATTAAGTCCCCTTCTTTGACTCCCATTCCTAAAGTTGGGAAAAAAGAGAGGGGAGACAAAACAAATGTAGTATTGGTAATACTGCAAGTACAAGGCTGCATATTTAATACATATTAACTAAATCTCCATTTGCCTCATCTGTATTCAACCTTTGATCACCATGGGCGAATTCACTGCCCAATGACTTTTATTACAAGTATATTGTAAGGACAGAAATTATGAAATTATTGTCTGTGGTAATCAAACGTACAGTACAGATGCAGCAACAGTGGAAAATGACTTTAATCTTCAGTTTTGCTGTCTCTTTGTTCATTTTTTTTTTAAGTGTACCTTTGCCTTCTGCATGACGTTTCCTTTGCTGGATGCATAGATAGATGAAGGACGCTTGCGCATCTCAGTAGCACAGTTCACAGGTAAAGAAGCCTCATAAGGATTTTCAGCTTTCCTGATCTGAACCTGTGGTAAAGGGTGAAAAGAAGTATAAAAGATCCACACAAAAGATAAAATCGTGCAACGCTGCATGTGAAATACAATAAAATCTCAGATACAGAATAGAGTCCTTGCAAAGTAAAGTTCATTGCTAACATTCAAGGAGACTGTCCTTGTGATGTGAGCAATACATTAAACATATTGCTTACAAATTTTTATGTCCAAATATTAAAAAATGTCCTGAAAATATTATTTGTGTTCTAATCACGCACAGCCAAGTCCAATTTGTTGTTAAAGAGCTCTAGCTGAGCCACGCAACCTCTGTAGGGCAGGAAGGGTCCACATTGGATGTTTCTTCAAACAAACTATGGCATAGGTACCCCAGACCACTTCACATTGTCTTCAAGATGTGTTTGATATTATGTACTGTAGGTATGTTAACAGTTAAGAAAGTTTCTTTCATCTCCTATTAATTTACTGGTTCAGGGAAACAAAGTTACAACATTGACAGATTTATCATGTATCCAGTTACAAAATTGTGTAGTTGCATATATGATAAACTGTACTGTTTTAACTGCTGGGATAGGCTCCAGCTCCCCCCGCGACCCAGAAGGATAAGCGGCTTAGAAGATGTGTGTGTGTGTGTGTGTGTGTGTGTGTGTGTGTGTGTGTGTGTGTGTGTACTGTTGTATTGTATATACACTATATGAAATACTATTGAAATCAGAAGTATTAACAAGGAGTTTGTACTCTCTTTACTGCAGTAACAGCCTCTACTCTTCTGGGAATGTTAGATGTTGGAACACTGCTGTTGGGATTTGATTGCATTCAGCCACAATAGCATTAGTGAGGTCAGGTACTGATAGTTCTGGGTTACAAATGTCACTCCAACTCACTGGATGGTACTCTATCACTCCAGAGAACACAGTTCCACTGCTCCACAGCCCAGTGTTGGGGAGCTGCATACTCACATTGCTGACTCTTGGCATTGGGCTTGTGACCTCATGTGCTGCTGCCCCAGAGTGTCCCATTCTATTAGCAATGCTTTTCTATGGAGACTATACAAGCTGTATGCATACAATTATGTGTGACCTTAAAGTAGCTGTATTCCCTAATTTAGGCTGTCTGGATATTTTGGGACATGCAGCGTATGTAGATAAACAGCAAAGATAATGTAGCGTGGTGCAGAGTACTGTAATGCTGACCCTGCAGTACCTTGTTTGTGGTTTTCTTCTCAGTAGGTGTCCCCAGCACACCTCCAGCCAGAGACTTCTTCAGGTTCTCTTTCACCTCAGTAAGCCGCAGCTCCAGATCCACTCTTTCAGCCTCCTTCCCTCTGCAGCTCTCCTCCAGCTCAGCTACACGCTTCTCCAAATCCTTCTGCTGCTTACCTACACATATCATACACACATACATAATTAAATACATCACTAATATCATCACCATGGTAAGAAAACCTGGTATCTACAAAACTGTAGCAGTAAAAGTTCATGACAGTTGTTAATGTAAAGTAAAAAAAGCTGCTTTTCAATCCATTCATCACAATGTAAGTTAAAGTCAGTTAATGTGCAAAAAATACAGCACAGCAATTGGAGCTATGAGGTTTTCTTATGAAAGAAACACAATTTTAACATGCTGAGCAAGTGACCAGCATGGAGTTGCCCTATGGCAACAAAGACTTTTTTAATTAAAAAATAAAAAAAAAGATTTTAAAAATTATTTAAGAAACTGAGGGCCTTATGTGTAAAATGGTATATTTTTTCTGATGTGCCTTCCTTTTGCAGTCTGTAATTCTTTTTCACAAACATTTCACGTGATGAGGTCTAGTATCTAAAGCTCTCATAAAATGTGTGTGGATAATTAAACTTTATGTATAATTAAATAATTCATGGATTTTATTTGAAAATATTTAAGCCAGACACAATCTGTGTGAAGTTACGGTTTCTTTTTCAGAAATAAAACCAGATGCTATAAGTTTTATATAAAATGCTAAAAAAATTACTGTTGCCATATGGTATGTATGCCATATTATTATTTTTTATACCTTTCAATATTTCAAAAAATACTCATGTATTAATGGCCGATATGCACACAGTTTTGTTTTCAAGACTAGACGATGAATGTGGCAGTGTCCTAAATCAGCGTAATGGTTTACTCCCATTGTATGCAGATTTCAGGTCTACTCTCACATGCTTTTGTCATTTCTATTAATTATGTCTTCAGCAACAAGAAAATTCGTCTTCATCAAAATGTGTATGTAGAATTTACGCAATGAAGGATTAAATAAGAGTTGGTGTCAGCAGGTGGCGCCAGAACATCATGTACTTACTAAAGGAAAAAATCACCACTTCAACAGCTTTGATTACAAGGTTCTGTGAAGTCATCTGATTATTCACACCACTGCTTCTGCTCTGATTCAGTGTCATTAGAGAGGCAGTATAATTAGAGAAGATGTCACCCTTACCCGTAGCTCCTTTAAGCTTCTCTTTCACTTCTCTCTTCTCTTTGCGGAGCAACAGCAGAGCTTTTCTAATCTCTTCCTTTTCCTTCTCCAGCTGCTCTTTCTCATTTAAGTATCGACGTGCATCCTCTTCTGCTCTCGTCTTCCCATATTTACCATACTGATTCACAGCTGCGAGACAAAGCGCATTTAATTTGCAGTTCTCCACTCATTTCCAGTCAACTGACTGCTATACAGATGGTTTTCATTAAGGCACTGAGTAACGTGGAGACTTACAAGAGCCGTGCCTCTTCACAGTGACTTGAGGGTTGACCTTTGGTGTGTCCGCACTGGAGAAAGATGAGTGGCGCTTCACTGAGGCTCCTGATTTAGGCTGAGCCTCCTCTACCTGCTAATGAGATTACAGGGGAGACAGTGTAGACAGAAGAAGACAAAAATTTGGAAAGATAACAGGTGGAGAAGGAAAGGGAAAAGAGAGTGGAAAGAATGATTGGGATCGTGTGTGAGATATTAAGGGAAGAACAAAATAGGGTCAAATGGAAAAGACTGGCAGGAGGGCAGTGGTATGTGAGTTAAAGTTGAATAGGGTGAATATTGCACGCATTAGATCCCAAAAATACTTCACTGTTGCAAAATGAGCTTCAAGTTTCATTCAAACCGCAACTGATGATGCCTCTAAGTATTTATTTGCAAGTAATCATAGATGTACAGTACTGTGCAAAGGTCTAAGACCATCCTTCATTTATTCAATTTACAGCCAAAATAGCTATTAAGTACAAGTCATTGATTTCGCAAGACATATTTCTGGGACTCCTAACAACCGTTCAAGACCTCGTAGACCACCAAAACAGTCACCACTAGATAAAGAGTACTTAAAGCTTTCATCTATAAGAGTTCACAGAACATCAAGCTCCACTCTTGATTCGGATCTGACAAAATCCATGGGTTTTCTGTCTATCATTACACTGTGAGAAGACAACGCTATGGTTCTGAAAGGATGTGTAGCTGTCAAGAAGCAATTGCTGAGAAAAGGAGAAAAGAAGCTACTGGTGTTCTCAGAACAATGGACTGGCACACCTCAGAGCCCAGACCTTATCATCACTGAATGTGTTTGGGATTACTTGGATTGTGAAAAGCAGAAAATGCAGAAAACTTCTAAGACTGAACCTTAGTGGTGTGGAAAACTATCCCTGCAGATTTCCTTAAAAAAACTAAAAGCAAGTCTCTCAAAAAGTCATGTAAGCTGTAATAAAGACAAAATGTGGGCACATTATTTACTATGTTTGGACTAAATAAAATAGAAAGATAGCAAGGTTTCCCTTAATTAAAAAAAGCTCCATGGGATGCTCTTCTGCAGACTCTGGTCATTTAAAGGACTGTGCAAGAACAGTATGTTGGTGCATTTAAAGGAATACTCCGGCATTTTTTTAACCTAATCTCTAATAATTTTTATGTGTTCCCCGAACTTAACAGAAAATCCACTGTCTAAAAACTTACTTACAATAGAAATGTTATGTAACGTATTTTGTATATTTTCATGAATTATACAGTTACAAGGTGTATGTAAATTAAGCTATAAACCTGTATAATTTTGTTCTTTTGGAGAAGGGACTAGTGAAGGGACTTTCCAGAAAAAAAAAATTGTTATATGTTATCAGTGTAGTGACATACCTGTGCGCTTTCATATGGAACCTCGTCGTAGGTGCGAGAATCTGTGGAGGCACTGCTGGAGGATGTGGCCCATCTGGGAAGAACAGAGCAGAAAAGAGTGATGATTTCAGTCTGCAAACCTTGTGCAGAAACTTTAGAATCAAATTAATGAAAAATAACATTTTAAATTAACAGTGACAAAGTAGTATGATTAAGCTGTACTGCCAATGTAAACAAATACTTAATTATGGACTGACCATGTAGATCTATAAAGAGAAATCAAATCCAGATTGAAGACAGAAACTCCCAAAACAAACAGAACTGAAATTGGCTGCAAAGGCTTAAAGGAGCATCCAAAGAGCAAATTAATAGTTTAGTGATGCAAGTTTTCACAGCTGTGATGCAGTCATGGCATGTAAAGGATTTGCAACCAAATACTAAGTTTTAAAGTACTTTAATGGGAAAAAATGCTTTAAAGGGCTCACATTCTACATTTTTCTTGGATTCGATTTTTCCTCTAAAATTTACTAATGACATCTGTGTGGATTTATGTACTAAAACAGACATAATTAATTTTACTTTGAATTTTTGAACTATTTTCCAACCTCTCTTTATCTCTAAGAATTGAACAGCTTGTTTTTTGTTACCATGCCTTTGAGACTGATATATCATCTGTGTCCCAAAAAAAATCTTCAAAATGACGACAGAAGAAGGCGAAACCTTTATTTAGTTTTAATGTAAGTTAATGTAATAAGATGTTATTCTAAACAATTTTGGAGAATATATATTGGTCCATTCGTGCTGCTTTGCTCAAATGATGTACAAAACTAAAAATTAAATAAAATGGAGATCCTTTTTTTTGGTCAGTGATGATATGTAAAATACAACTGTTCTGACTGGCTGCTCTGTATTGTGTTGTGTATTGTTCAAAAAGCATTCCAGGCTGAAACACTCTGAAACACTGTAGTTTTTCTTCAAGTCTGACATCTTTAAAAAAAAAAAATCTATTTTGAAATCACGGTCTTAATGCATATGGAGAGCACTGCATGACTGTTACTACAAAGACACAAAAAAGCACTACTAACAAGAAAGAGTGGCGAGCTGCATCTCTGATGCTGCTGATTGTGTCCACATCCACATAGTCATAGTGCAGCGCCTCAGGGGTGGTAGCACAACCTGCTTCTGCCAATAGCACGCCGAGCCAGCGACCCATCTCCTCAGAACAGCTGGCCTGAGACACATATATGCATTTAAACTCATTCAAATTAAATCGCATCATGTTAGCAAACAGAAACTTTACTCTGTAAAGGGGATACGTGTAATAAGATACCTCAAGAGCAGCGACTTCATTGCCCTCACGCATGATACGGAAGGCGAAGGGGTGCTTGGGCCCCAGTCCAGGTAACACCTCAACACCACGAAGAGCCACAGCATTAACATGAGTATGGATATCCCCTCTGTCTTTATGGAGATACAGAGTGCCACCCCTTACGCAACACCAGCGCTCCTTCCAGCATTGATTCACCAGAACATTCAGATAACCTGAGAGGAGAGAAATACAGTGTTCATACTAATTGGAGGGTTATACGCTTCCATTACTGTTGGCTATATTAGCCTCATTAGTTTAGCTCCAGTGCAAACTCAAGGAACAAACTTAAGACATCACACATGTTTAAGCTGACTAATTAATTCAACGAAAGGGGAAAACTGTGAAAATTAGATTTTTGGCTAAACTACTCCTTTAACCCCTAAGGGCCTGTATGTGACACATCTACACTTCAATTCCGCACTCTCAGTACTGCATAAATCACATATTAGCTTCATAGCAGTTACAGACAGTTAACAAATTGTATCAGTTATAAGCAACAAGTTCTAAGACTAGTAACTGAATGATAAACCTGCAGCTTAAGGGTTAAAGGGGAATTCTACCAATTTTTCAGAATGTCTATGTTATCTAGACTTTGGAATGTAAATAAAGTCATTCAGAGTGGTTTGATGTGAAATGCTCAGTTCTAAAGAAACATACTGACAGTGTTGGTGATGCTGTTTACAACACAAATATAACCTTTTTTCCAAAATGCACCTACCTACTTGTCCTCAGTTTTTTATATGTAATGATGATGGTAAAGATTTCTTTGGAGACTACTTTGCCATGTAACTCCCTGTATGTACGTCTCCACCAGAAATTAATTAAAATAAATAAATAAATACATTTTAGCTTAAAATCTTATTTCAAAACTACATTAAAACAATGTCTCAGGCAAGGTGTAATGTATATGTTAGCATTTTGTGTAACAGCCTTCTGTGAGCTAGCTTAGAGGCCCACGTCTGGTTCCAGTTAGTACCACTATGAACAATTCTGATTTGATAGGTTTCTCTAGATCAGAACATTTCAAGTCAAACTGCCCAGAATGACTTTGTTTACATCTTATCGATTTAATTATGCAGAAATTTAGGAAGTCTGTGTAATTTGCTCTGAACACTAAAATTTAAATTGGCTAAGATCAGAATTGGCAAATTTTACCTCCAAATATAATCGGCAATTGGTCAATTCATTATATGCATTTTTGCCGATCTGTTTTGCAATTTATTAGTTTACATAACATGAGGTCGGTAAACACACTTACGCTGAATTTGAATGCTGCTGCTACGCCTGTACTAACATGTTGGAGCATTATTATGATAGAAGGCATTAAAGAGCAAATAAAGGCATTTATAATAAAACTCTAGCAGAAAGTACTGGAAATGTGCATGTTTCATGTGTTCATTTAGCCCAAACAGTGTGAGCTTTGGGTTAAAAAAAAGGTTAAAAATTAACCAATTTTTCTGTAAAGAAATCAGCCACAAAAAATCATGATCAGTGCATTCTTTTGTGATGTCAGTGCAGGAAATGTTCAAACAATGTAAAGGGCAGCTTCAGGCGGTTTTACTACCCCCCTCTCAAACAGCACAGTTAGAAAGGCTGGTGCATCACTCTGTGAGACTAAAATGATGACTGTGCTGAATATCTTTCAGAAAGTTTCTCACCACAGCGTGGGTTGTCGTCGGTGTGGGAGAGGGTGGTTGTCTCTCCAGGCAGAGGGGGCTTCTTCTTGGAGAAACTGATTATGCGGTTGATTTTTCGTCCAGCAGCGCGACTCATAGACCCAGTCAGCTCAGAGAATGCTCCCCTCTTAACCTTCCCTTCAGGAGCAAATATAGCAAGCAGCATGAGAGGAGTCACACAGAGGATATGACACAACTCTCTTTTCACACGTGTTCAAAATTCAGCTGCTGATCAGCTACTGTTTCAAGAAAACAGGACCAAATGCTTTTCCATATAGACATGCTGATAGATATTCTGGAGCATTTTAATTCTTTGAGGTTCAAAAACCTGTTAAACAGCTTGTAGGAGACAAAAAACAATAAAAAGCATGTGTAACAAACTCTGTGATCCTTTTGGCTACACATCAAACACAAAGAAGAATAACCAGATACATCCTTCCTCTAATCCCTCCTGCCATTGTGTAAGGGTGACGTGACAGAATTCAGGGGAAGCAGGTTGCATCTGGAACTCACACTCTACTTTCTTCAGAAAGATTTCTTAGTCAAGACCGTTTTATCGACTGGCTATGGAGCAATATCTATATGCACTTAAAATTAAAGGTGTCAAAAGGGTTCTTTAAGCCAGTCTCAAAGAAGAACCACATCTCCCTAAAGAACTTTTATAGAGGAATTCCACCGATATTTTGACGTTTCTTTATAATTAAATTGTTAAGATGTAAACAAAGTTATTCAGAGTAGTTTGATGAGTAATGCTTCACTCTAGAGAAACAGAGAATTGGTCATGGTGGTGATGATGGGAACCAGATGTCTGACACGTTTAATGCCTCTAAAGGGAAACTCACAGAAAGCTATTTCATGAAATGGTTACAAATAAACTGCCTGATACACTGTTTTATGACAGATACTGGCTCAAATTTTTTTAAGCCATGATGCAGGGGTACATACGGAATGCTGTTCGGCAAAATAGTGCACAAAGACAACTTTTTTCACGATTTACCACTAGTTTACCATTATAAACCCTATGCATTAAAAAATTCAGAAGGCACATGTAGGTTTCCTAGTTGTTTCAGTGAGTAAATAAATTTGCAATATTTGCACTGTAGACATCGCGACTTTCTTTAAATCTTAGTGACTGGAATATACAGACCTTAAAGGGGCATGCCCCTTTAAAACTACTTTTACTTCTACTGTAGTCAATATTTCATGGAAGTAACAATACTTTTACATGGCTTCTGCTGGGTGTTTTAATGAAACATAGTACCAAATGTTTTTCTTTAGATTTACAACCATTTACCATTATCAACATTACATATAAAAACATGGACAGGTTCACTAGTCATATTGGATAGTAAATATGATGGCCATATTTGTACTGTAGATATTGAAGCCCCTGTTTTTCTCAGCACCACTGTAAGGAAATCATTAGTAAGTTTCTCTAAAATGAAACCACTCTGAATGACTGTTTACATATCAATGACTGAATTATACTAAAATATCTGTGGAATTCTCTCTAAATGGATGGTTCTTTAAAGAAATACTCCAGCCCTTTTCAAGCTAAACTCTATCTGATGCATCTTTACAGCGTGTTACCAGAGACTATAATTTTCACTGAATTTAAAGAACAGAAAATCTCACTGACTCAAAGAATAGTTACAACAGAAGCTTAAGAACCCTTTGGGGAACTGCAATTTTAATAGTGTACCCATTACAATGCCAGAAAAGTGCACTACAAGCAAGTAGCAGCTCGTTGAGTGCTTACCATTTTCACCACCCTCCCGAGTAGAGTCTCCATTGGCAATACTGTCAGAATCCGAAGTATGTCTATCAGCAGCCATCATCTGGAGTTACATGTAGAAAAAGTTAATATGTGTATGTGAATGATATATACATACACTGGTAGCAGATCAGGGTGTAAGTGGCTCACCTTATCCAACTCTGTCTTGCGAGGGACCATGGGGGAAGATGATGTCTCCAGTGCACTGGTGCTGTTGGCCATAGTAGTGGCCTCCTGGATGGCCTAAATTAGATTAGCCACGGACAGAAAATCTGTGAAAATCCCTCAATATTCAGTTACATGCTGAGTTCCAGTCAATGGCCATGTAGGAGTAATGCATTGTAACTTACTCACTGGTTCCTTTATAAGAAACCCACTGTATTTACACTCACTGGCCACTTTTTGAAGTCCCCCTACCATATCAGTCCACTTTGTACAATAATTTGCAAAAATTTATTTTTAGGCCACAATTTATTTACTTAATTTCCAGTCAAACTGGTTATTAAGTACAAGTTATTCATTTTTCAATAAATATTTCTGAGGAGATTAGATATAAGATAATCCGCTTGCATAAGGAAGGAGACAGTTGAAGGAAAATAACTTGAAAAACAGAATTTTCAAAAGCTGGACTTGATGGACCCCCAAAACTGTCACCATCATCAGATAAACAGTACATTAAGCTTTTATCTCTGAGCGATAAAAGAATATCAAGCTCAACTTTTGCTTTAGATCTGGTAAAATCCACAGCTTTCTCTGTTGATCCTTCCATTGTGCGAAAACAACTTAAGCCTATGGGTCTGAAAGGATGCATAGCTGTCAAGAAGCTGTTATTGAAGAAGAACATTTGGGAATAGTTGGACTGTGAGAAGCAGAAAATGCAAACAACTTCTAAGACTGAACTTTGGATGAGTGGAAAAAAAACATTTAAAAAAATCAATAACTTCTAGTTAATGGCCATTTTGACTGGAAATTAAATAAATGAACGATGTTCTTTGACTTTTGTTCTGCACTGTAGGTTTCCAATTACTGACTGGCCATCTATTAATGCACAATCTGTCAGCCACCTTCTACCCTGTCCATCACTGGTCAGAAGCTGACCAAAAAATATCCAGGAGTGGCTCCCAAAAATATCCAGCCAGGAGTGGCTCTGTGATCAGAAACTGACCACTAACAAACAGCTTGAGAGTAGCTAACATAAACTGCATGGAAAAAGATGCACTTTCGTATGTCTCAAACTGTAAATCCACAAGGTTGAGCTATTAGGTAGTGATTTGTAACAAAGGGGACAGTGAGTGAATTTCAACAGATCAAGAAAATAACCTTATTGCTCAGGCTATATAATAATTTACCTTAAGCCAGCTCTCAGCTTGCTCCTTGCTCGGTACAGCCAGCACTAAGGACTCTCCTCCAGGCATGGAGAATTTAAGCTCATGCTTTTTGCGTCGACCATCTTTACACACATAGATGACACTGCACTGATTCAGAGGCATGTCAGTGTGTGGAGTTCGGTCCTTAGGGTTCTTAAAACACTAGATAGAAAGTAAACAACTGTCAGATGTTGTTCAAGCTCGTCTACACTTGTAATATTAAACATGCCTTTATCTATAAGTGTGGCGTCAGCGGTGCTAACCTGCAGTCTGTTCTCTCGGATGATGGTTAATTGTTTGGCCCACTGACCAAAGCGTTTCTTTCGCAGAAGAAAGGCACATTTGCGACAGTCCTTCAATGGGCCCACAGGACTCTCCTCTGAGGGCCACTGGTGGGTCCTCTCTCTGCTTTTAGCCTCCTCGTCCTCTTCATCATACGACTCATAAGAGCTACTCAGAGCATCTGAGTCGTTGTCTGTTTATATGAACAATCAACACAATCAAAAATGAAACAGAGAATTTAAAGGAGTAGTTCAACATTTTTTCTCAAAAAAACATTTTCAGAGTTGAAATCCATCTAAAACACAAAAATGACCTCTTATAGGCTTACATGGGGCACAGAAAGAGATAGCAAACTCCATTTTAGAAACTCCAATATACTGCCAATTATATATACTGCAATATGGCAAATATATTATACCACAATACTTAGACATTTTCACAATACACAATACACAACATGTATCATTATATTTTGACGGACCAACACAATCAGAAATGAAACAGAGAACTTTTTTCCTCAAAAAGAGATCTTTTTTATATATATATAGTATGTATGTATTCATTTACATATCAATCTAACATTTTGGGGTAAAACATTTTGGGTCATAAAAGTAAATTGCTCATTCATAATTTATACAGTAACCTAAGGATGCAATGTCTCTGTTTATGTTTTTGTTTATACAAGACTGCTTTGAATACAAATGGTTCTATGCCCATAGGAAGCCTATTTTGTGTGTATCTTAAAAGCAGGCATTTCACAAAAATTCCAAAATTTCCAAAAGCTGCAATAATTGTTGTTTTGAAGAAAAGCACTGGACTAATCGTTTAACAGGGAGAGAACACATGCATATTTTAACGGTATGGCATGTAGGTATGTCCCTTACAGGAGTTCTTGCATGGGCCATTCAGCTGAGTTATTGGGTAGTTGTTGTCAGCATCTTCATAATAGGCATCCTCAATTGAATTCGGTGGGCTGGAGTTGTCTGAGATAGAAAGCAAAGTCAGCAAGGGGTGACTCAAGGTCTGTATTATCATCTTCATGCTAAACTGATTTAAGGCAATAAGTAATGTGAGAGTGTTTACTATGGGTGGTGATGTACTGAGGCATGGTGTCTGGTTCTAGCGGAACAGCCTCCTCATAGTAATCCTCAGGAGGGGGCGTTGTGGGCAGTGGAGGGGGCGTGTCTGTGGGGCTCTGAGGAACAAAGACACGGTTAATAAATTATGGAACAGAACAGGAATTCATTTGTTAAAATACTCGAGCATTTCAGGCAAGTTGTAAACTGGTACTTGATTTGAGAAATGTACAAATCGTGAATGAGTCACTGAGTCTATCAACATAAAAACGAATGTTTTCTGAACATTTTGAGTATCAAGCACATAAATATGGCTTAAGTCATTTTACACACTTTAGAGGCCTAGAACTGCCACACTAGTTTGGCATTTCTTACTGATTTTGAGGGCGGATGCTTTGATGTCTCTTCCTCTTCCTGGTTTTTCAGCTCTTCAGGGGAAGCTCTAAGCTCTTTCAGGTCACAATCTGAACAAACAGATTTTAATGTGACTGTGAGAGAACAGTTATCAGCTAGGTCTATAGCAACAAGACCATTAATAAACCCATAAAACAAAATATTATGGAAATGTTAAACAAACTTACCAAATTCTTCAAATAGTGACTCCACAAAGCTTGTACCATTCCCATAGAGCGAAGTGTTCATGTATATGAAGTCACTGCCTGTCACTGCACAGAGAAACAGGCTTATTTAACCTAATTAACAGTACAAACTGTACGGTACAACAACACAGTTCGAAAGTTTGGAATTTGGTCACGGACAAACGAATTTAAGAAGCAGTAAAAGTAAGACATTATATGTGTACAGAATGATAAACAGAGCTGTAGATGATTCTAAAAATGCCCGAGAAAGCTCTATAACATCAAAAATGCTATTTCGAAAGTGGTGATTAAATCTAGAGGTACATAACTTGGAAAAAAAATGGTAAATAGATTATTACAGTATATCATTTATCATTTATTAATTTAGTGTTGTACCCAAAGTATTGAATCAAACACCTAAAAATACATGCAACAGGTGGAAAGGTAGAAATAGAAATCAGTTATCTTTTGAAATATGATTAGAAAGCCAAAGACAAGTAATGCTAGCTAGCCAACATGCAGTAAAAAACAGTTGTGTCCTGATGTGGGTGGGGCTAGTTGGCACATTGATTTGAGAGTTGGTTGGCACATGTATAATCCAGCCCCACCGTAGGGCTTTTGTCACAAACACACATTACAGTATACATATATAGTATAGTATATATAGTATACACTGCACACATTTTAAATAGCATAGTCAACAACACAACTGCAATGCAGTGCTGTACTGCATCACTGTTCATATTAAATTCTTAATAAATTTTAACAGTCCATTTGATGATCAGTGAGTGGCTCAAAATGAAAAAACAACAACCCAAACTTTTTATGACAATTATGACTTTATAAATGCAAACACTTCTTTCATGTGAGTAATATTTTACTAAGGATATCACTACTTTCACTCAAGTACAGGAGCTCAGTATTGTTCGGGCTATTATCCAGCCTCTCACTGAAAGACAAAGACCTGAATTCTGTATAGTCGGCTCACTAACATCTGCTTCTGTGTTTAAGATCGGTAATGTAATGTCCTTTTGCTGTGTGTGCTGGGTTTACCTGATGGTTGTAACTGTCCCAGCAGGTTCCTGACCACAGTCATCTTCTCTGCAGTGGCTGAGCTCAAATGTTCATGCTCCAGCAGCTTCAACAGGATGTTCAGCTCCTTCACCAGGTGCTCCATGGCTTTGCAGATACACAGAGGAGGGATCAGTGATGAGCAAAAATGGAGATAATTATACCATCATGACAGATGAAGTGCTCTTTTAGGACACTGCTGCATTTAATAGAGAAGTTTGTTTGGTTTGGCACAGTATTCCCTGTTTCCCAAAACGGATCAGCCAAAAAATTTGGTTTGGTATGTTTGGTGTCTCTTCTGTAATTCTGTGCCAAAGTTTCAAGGCTAATATACAACAAGCAAGGGAAGATTACAGCTAGCCGTTAGCATTGTGGAAAACGCAAACCTACATTATCTCTTTCTCTGAAACTGTGTTGAGTTGGAAAAATATGAGATGGACAATATGAACTCAAATCAGGCTTCAAAATGGCTACCGCTCATAGCTATATGGTGTACTTTTGTCCTTTTTTTATACATAACAGTTTGTCGTTCAGTATCAGAAACCACATAAGCAAGTCTGAGGCAAGTGTGTAATGATTTAGACATTCAGTTCACTTTAGCCTAACTGGTTAGTTATGAGCTTACATTACTTGTTAGCTACATTAGCCTCGCAGTTCCTGGGCAAAATTTAAAAAGGAAACTTCTGGCACCAAACATGTCTTGGTTGATTGACTACATTTGGGGTGATAATATAAAGAATATTTTGTGTGAATTAGATTTTTTGCCAAACTGTTTCCTTTAAGAACTGCTATGTCAAGGTTTAACCCTTTAAATGGCCAGGACCCACCAGCATGCTTCCATTCTAGCCTTATTTGCATTGTTTTCTATATAGTTACTGACTAATAAGCCTTAGGATGTAATAAGCCTATAGATTTAAGTAGTAAATATCATGACTACAGAATAAAGTTCAAATGTTTTTAGAATAGGGACGCTGTAAAAGAAGCTAGATGACAACACAGATCATCAACACATATCTGAGAATTTGTTCGATGTCAGAAGAGTTATTCATATACTTCGAACCCTTAATGCCTAGTGCACTAGCCAGCAGCATGGCTGTGAGGGAAAGGTCCTCAGCTGTCGTAACTGGACATCTGGCTATTTTGACTGTCTGCTGGGGGAAACCAAGCCAAAGCAACTAATGTGGCTTAATGCAATAAACAGACAATGATAGGGGCATGACCTGAATTGATTTCATATGTCAGTGTTCTTCCAAAACTGTGCATGGTTAACAATAGCAGCATTGTTATGAAAGTGTTAACAAACACAGGAAACTGCACATCCCTTCCTCAGAAAAACATCTTTACTCTTCACAGAAGATATTGTAGCACAGCCATTGTGAGGAATGATACTGGGCAAGTTTTGTGAACATTTTCCAAAGACTGATTGGCTTCAGTGGCAATACAGAGCCTGAAAAGTTTTTTCCTTCAAGGTTGTCATTCAGGTCATAGTTCAGTTTCAAATGACTCAGTTGATCCTTGTATTTTGATCAGACATGAGGAATCTTTTTTCCACAAATTCCTTATCACATTAATTGGGGCTGGTGACAAAGTAGTTGTTGACTTTCACATATTCACATTCCAAGATTTTTCACAAGATATCATCACACATCTTGCCCACACACTTTCATGTTTCATCCTGTCAAACAGATTCTGGGAGAGCAGGTTCTATTACAGCAAAACACTGCAGAAACGTACAAAATGGCTAAACAGGCTTCTGACGTCAGTCTGCTTTACAAAACCCCACAAACTATTTATGATTTAGCAAACCATACACAAGCCTGTGTTTCTTCAATTGGATGCTGCTCTACTCATTCTCGATGGAGAAGTCAGCATAACGTTAACAAAGATATCTCCTAACAAAGTTCTCTTCTGTGCAGGTGTTTTAAGCTGTTTTCTCACTCATACCCTGGTCACCTTGGTCAAATTACATCTTGTGTTGATTTTCTAAATGAAAATAAGTACAAATCCTCTACAGAGAACACGCTTAAATGGCACATTTCTGCAAATTTTAATGCACAATTTCTATTTCTAATTTAGCATACAGTTTTACATTTGCATGAGTTTTTCTTTCCCAATGTATTAAAATCAGCAAATAGTAATTGTGCATTAAAAGGTGAAGAAGTGTTCTCTGAAGAGAGTGTGCATTTATTGTGTCATAGAAAATCAACAAAATGCCACTTGACTAAGGGTGTCCAAACTTCTAAGTTCTTGAACCTAAAGAACATGTGGTCTTAATTTTACATGGTCCAAATTGATGTGTATTTTGATATCACATTTGTAAAGTTATTATCATATTTTATTCCATATAGATCACTTAATGACTTCATATAATAATAATAATAATAATAATAATAATAATTGATGCAATAGACAAGTTTCACACCCAGACTTTGAATCTAGTTTCTGATAAGTATGTAATCGCTGGTAAGTATGACACAAGCTAGCCATTCAGTTACATCAACAGTTCAGTGATCACAAAATTCAGGACCGGAATATGAATTAAAGGTCTGGATTTAAAGACCTCTGTGACAAATAATATAACTGATCATCAGAAGCTTGTGGAGGCTACTGTAGCATACAAAAAGGAGATTTTCTGAATTGCAAATAACTATTTAAATGACATAAAGACACCGTGTGACATGCGGCCATTTAAAAATGGACAAAAGTTTTTTAGCTAAAACAGTAGCAGCAGCAGCCATCTTGAAGCCTGAATTTTGCCCATACTTTTGTCCACTGTCATAAATAACTGTACTTCATACAGTGTTAGAAAGCACATAAACAAGTCTATTTGATATTACATAATAATCTGAAGCAGTTCAGGGAAATTGATGATTTTGGCTGCAGCTTGCGAGATGCTAATTGGTGAGGTATAACCTTCTATTACTGGACAGCTACATTATCCTCATAGTTTCACTTAAAAAGCCCACTCAGGATGCCAAAAATATCTTGTGTGTAAGTTTTTCTGAGCAAACCATATTGCACATCTGCACCCCTATTCAGTGATAACATCAGTATTATTAAATAAGTAAGTTCTTCTGCAAGATTGTTATTAGAATTAACTATGTTATTGATTTTCGTAGCCCAGTTGTATTGCTGACTGTAAAAGAAGACATCTCTTAATTCATGAGAGCCAAAAATTATGGGAAAACCTAAATGCCATGCAGTCAAACTTTCTCCCAGCTAAAAACCTCTGACATTTAGGGAGATAAAGATGTACTAAGTCTTTTTTAAAGTCTATATATAGCAGCAAGTATAAGATAACATGCCTTATTAATGGCTTGACCAACTCAAACTGAGGTCTCCTTTAAAAATTTACTATTATGAAGGCCTTCAAGGTGTCAGGACTCTAAATATAACCATTGCCTTTATTAAGAACCCATGAAAAACTCTATTTTTTTTAGAGTGCAGATTAAATCAGCTGAGGTTTCCTTAGCTGTTAGAGGTCAGATCTGAATCATAGCCACTGAGAATCTGCCCCACAAGGTAACACATGCAAACACTTCACCATTCACACCCCACCACACCCAGACTCTGGTAAGAAGAGAGGGAAAACAACTCTCTGTTGAGATAAAATCTGCAGGCTACCTGCTTCTCATTAAGCTTTACTGATCTAAAGGCTGTTATTCTTGGACAACAGTAATGAATGCAATATGTGAAGGTTTCTTTCGCTCGTCCACTACCACTTGTTTCTGTTTCTTCAAGCCAAATAAAAAAAATGGCAGCAAGCTTGCTTTTGCTCTCCTGACCTTAGCCAAAAACAAACAATGCAACTTTCATGGAAAAATGAGTCTCGCAACCACCTCAAAGCAAACCATGAAATCACATGAAAGCAGTTTGATCCACAGCAGAGATGTGTCCATGAATGTGAGCACTATCAATCAGAAGGTCAGTGAAGGACGGGGCAATCCAGGGCAAACCTGTCAACAGTTCTTATACATGAACTACAGAGAGGTGTTTGAGATTCAGCATTACTGCAGTGCAACATAAGTGAAGCTCTCTACACTGAGCTGCCAAGAAAAGTAAGCAAGCAATCTCACCAGACTCAACAGCTGAGGGGGGCGAGGACAACACCATTTTCCAAAAATGACACGCTGTCAGAAATCCTCTGATAATCCTCACTGCAGCTGAACGGCTCTCCAGTGAAATGCAGCCTTAATGCACAGAGCTGCTATAAGACTGAATGTATTCTGTGTCTCTCAGCCCGTCTTTACTACAGCGTCAATCTGCAGAGCCATGCATGCTTTACTTTCTCTCACTGTTTTAACCACCCCCCTCCTTCCTTTTCTCTCCGTCCTCCTCCTCATTCCAGCCTGTTTTTGTGGTGGAATCTGAGAGATACAGCTAAGAAGTGATTGTGGCCGATTTTAATCTAAACATTAAAAAAAGATTCAACTCAAATCGTTAGTTATAACACAAATATCTCAAATAACTAATTAGCATCACAAACATAAAATGACCAAAGAAAGAATTCACTTTAACACCTCTTGAGATATATTTGTTTGCGAAGGCCAAGACACAGTGACTGACCAACACTTAAAGGGCCCACATTATAGAAAACTTTCCATTTGCTTTTTTGAAATGAAAGAGTTTGATATTATATGTAAACAGTGTTACTTTTATAGTTTTGTACAGATCAGTACATTCGGCCTACAGCAGTTTAGGTGCATCCATTCACGCTTAGCTTATAAAGAGTGTATCAGCTCAGTCTGCTTTTTTAATTGAGGCACAATGCAGAGCAGCCAGTAAGAGGTCATATTAATATTGAAAACACAGTAAAAAAAAAGCGATTGATTCTAAGGGATAAACAGAGGTTGGAAATTATTTTTTGGTACATAAACTACACAAAGGTCATAAGTTCTCCTCAGGCAAAGAAAAAAATCTTCTGTCTAAAAAAGACACTTTTTTTCCACACAATGAGATTCAATCTTCTGGTCAAATGCTCTTTGGTTTGCAGCTGCAGGACACAGACTTCTGGAGATCTTTTCCATCTCTTTAATCAGAGGTTTTAAGAAATCAGACACTGAGGGCTCTCAGTTGCTGACCTTAGTTGAAAGGACACAATCAGCACAAAATCAAAGCTAAGCCTCTCTTCATTTGTTTTTTTTTTCCCACTGAGGGAGCACTAAATGGACAACAGGTTATTTCCTCAGGACGCGGTTTCCTCTCTCCTTGAGAGAAGGAAGTGGAAGTGTGTGTGTGTGTGTGTGTGTGTGTGTGTGTGTGTGTGTGTGAGTGAGTGTGTGTGCATGGGTGAGTGTGTAAGCCCAAAAAGAGATAGGAGGAAGGTGAATGGGGGCCGGAAGCTCAGGGAGCAGAGAGAAGGATATCTCTGTTATTGTACTGAGAGCGGTGCAATCACAACCCCACGCCTGCCGCTCTCCAGAGGACCATTGTGTGAGAGTATGTGTGTGTGAGTGCGCGCTTTGGCTTGGACAAGGGAGTCACCCGTCCTGTTTCCGAGGAACTCTCATTCCCACACAAAACCAACTCACGCCCCCAGACCATGTCCACTGTCTGGCCCCCACTGACCCACTCCAGAAACTAGGTCAGGTTTGCAGAGGTTTGATTCAGCCAAAAATTTTATTTACAATTTTCCTCTCATCCAAAATGTAGCGGATCAGCCAAAACATGTTTGCTGCCCAAAGTTTGCTTTTTGTTCCATTTTGCACAGAAGCTACATGGCTAATGTGGCTAACAAGTAATGGAAGCTCATAGCTACTAGTTAGCATTGTGCAAACTACATACCTAAACCAACACACACTTGCTTCAAACCACATCAAGATGCTGAGTAATCTCAAATAGACTTGATTATGTGGTTTCTGTCGGTGTATGACATCAGTGTTGTCTATGAAAATGGACAAAAGTATTTTAGCTAAAAACAGTTGTAGCAGCAATCTTGAGGCCTGAATGTGCATAATTTTGTCCATTTTTATCGATAACAGTATGTTATACAGTGTCAGAAACCAAACACGGCTATCTGAGATTACAACTTGATGTGGCTTGAGGTAAGTGTGTGATGCTTTAGGCATGCAACTTGCACAATGCTAATTGCTGGTTAGCTGCGGTAGCCTGCATTTAACATAACTAGAATATCATACTTTATGTAATTACGATTATGTAAGTTTATTTGTTATAAACATTGTGTTAAAGGGGACCTCTACCAATTTGACAAAATAATTCAATGGTTGACACGTAAACATTCAGAGTGGTTAGATGTGGAACGGTTCATTGGAGAGAAAATTATAGCTTCAGATTTCTTTACTGTGGTGATGAAGAACCAGGGGTCACAATGTCTTTAATGCAAATACAGCCATTTTGTCTATATCCGAATACACACATCTGTTCTGTTTTATATGTAATGTACATGTAATTATATGTAATGTTTTTTGAGTAGTCTTTTGTCTTACAACACCCAGTATGTATAATGTATCTCTCTGTCATTAATGTGTTTTAAACAATCCATTTTAGGTCAAAACCTTAACTACTGACAACATATTTGTAACCTTTTCATGTAATAACTTTCTGTTAGGTAGCTCTTACAGTCATTAAATGCATCAGACGTCTGGCTCCTATCACCATCAATGTGAACAATTCTGAGTCTGCAAGTTTCTCTAGAACAGATCATTTCACATCAAATCACTCTAAACGACTTTGTTTATTGTTTATTTTCTGAGCCCACTATGTGAAGACATCACTTCAGGAAAAATATAAATGCAATGTAATCAAACATTCCCTACTGCTAAAAACCTCTGATATTTAGGGAAGCAAAGACATTCTAAATCTTTTTAAAGTCTATCTATAGCAGAAAGTATAAGATGTAAAGTGTAAACATGCATTATTACAGAGAAATGGCTTTACCAACAGCCCAAACTGAGGTCTCCTTCAACAATGTACTATTATGAAGGCCAAAATTAGACAGTGAGATCACTCTGGAGGAAAGGAGACAATGCAATGTGGAGAACTCAAAAATGCAGCACAAACAATCATTCACTCACTTGCGCACATGTATACATACACACGCACACACACACAACACATTCATGGGGCATGTTGGTTGAGAGCAGCTGTGGTGTCCAGAGGCGCTGGCATTGTGGGTCAGAGGATATGTCCTGCAGCTGTGGTTTCCTGTCTGGACTGACGAAAGCACTTTCTATCAACGCCAACCTTCTGCTTCCTATTCCTCTACGCTTTAGATATTCCCAAATATGACACGTTGTCAGTTCCCCACTAACCCTCAGTGCCTCACTGCTCTGTCCTCCTCACAGTTCACTCTCATCTATCTGAAAAATGATCAAAAATGATTAGACACTCTCAATCTAATTTATACCACCTCTTTGGTGGTATTACCCACAGATCAGGCATCTGACCAGAGACTAGTGGCTCATTTAGAAAATGTTTATCTCCTAGCCTAGAAGACAGAAAATGTAGGCTAACTTAGCCATGTAACACTATCTGTGTGCTCCATTTCTGAAAACATGAACATTCTTAAAAATAAAAAAATGGTTATTTGGAGTGATGCACCAGAAGCACTGGACCTTGAACACTACACACTTCCAAAAGAGGCTCATCAGCTGTTGGGGCATTTAGAAAATGTTTATCTCCTAGCCTAGTAGACAGAAAATGAACAATTCATTGAACAATTCAACCTTCATTGACTCAGTTTTGAAAACCTAAACATAATGGAAAAGCTCCAAGCACTGGACCTTGAACGCTACACACTTCCTAAAGAGGTTCATCAGCTGTTGGAGCATTTAGAAAATGTTTATCTCCTAGCCTAGAAGACAGAAAATGTAGATTAACTTAGCCATGTAACACTATCTGTGTGCTCTGGTTTGACTTTCAGCTCCATTTCTGAAAACATGAACATTCTTAAAAATAAAAAAATGGTTATTTGGAGTGATGCACCAGAAGAACTGCTTTTGGCTCCATAAAGCATTGATTCTCAAACCAGTCTTCAGGAACTCCCAGATAGTCCACATATTTGCTTCAACCCAACTCGCAATGCACAGGAATACAGCGAAAATGTGAAATGACTGGAGGCCCCTGGGGACCAGTTTGAGAACCACAGCCCTAAAGAACATTTCAATGGCTCTTTAAAGGACATTTTTTGTAAATGAGGTGAGTGAGAGCCTTTTAAAGGTTTAAAGAACCGCCACATAATGTAAAGGTTCTATACCAGTTGGAGTTTTTTTGTAGAACCATGCACTGAAGCCAAGAATAAGTCAGGAATCTTTATCTGTAAGAGGAAAGCAGCTCTAACAACTAACATTTTGTACAAAATTAAAAAATAATAACAATAATAAACACTTACATTTTAGTATGCATTTCCTCCAGGCCACAGCATCTTTTTAAACTGCCACTAAGGCTAACATCATTGGACAGCTCAACACACTTTGAGGAAATAAAGGATGCCAACATTAGCTAGCATCCCATTAAGTGATGGAGGGAGAGGAAGGACCATCCTACCCACTCAGAGAGATCTCTGGGACTTCCGGCCACAGATGGCTGTGGCATTGAACAATTCAACCTTCATTGACTCAGTTTTGAAAACCTAAACATTATGGAAGAGCTCCAAGCACTGGACCTTGAACGCTACACACTTCCTAAAGAGGCTCATCAGCTGTTGGAGCTCCGTGCTGTGGGTGGGCGTTATGCGCACTAATTCCCTGAACACACACACACACACACACACACACACACACACACACACACACATGCACACAGGAGTGGCACATAGAAGAGGCTTTTGTGTGCACCACTCAAGGTCACATGGAGGCCACATGGTCGTGGCAGAGGGTTGGCATAATTTAATGCTGACTATTTCAGCGGATGACAGCTTACTGGGTGGAGTCAATTACAGACAAGCAAGAGGCCACATAACTGAAAAGGGAGGGGATAGCAGCTTTGAAGATGAAATCTTGGAAGTCTCAGTGACCCTGGGAAAATGAGTGAAGGTCAGATTATCTGAACTGTGCTCTGAGCACAAACTCCAAAACAAGAGAAACATGACAGTGCGAGCCTGTTAGATATTCTTATGGCTAGCAAAAGGACAATAATGGATACCTAGTGGTTACATCCTGAGTTGACATCATCTTGTTCTGGTGGATGACGAAGAGGGCAAAACATCAGTTAAAAGCGATTGCTGGAGAAAAACGTTCACCATGTAGTCAATCAACCTAGGCACGTTTGGTGTCTGAAGCTGCTATAAGGCTCATGCAGCTAACAAGTAATAAAAGCTGATATCAATTAGCATCAAACTATATGGCAAATCATCACATACTTCGTCAAGTTGTTAAGTAATCTCAAATAGGTTTCCTTATGTGGTTTAAAAAAGCTACTTGTCAGCTACATTAGCCTAGTTTTTTGTCCAACCATCACTTTACTGCCTTTCGGAAATCATACTCATCGGAACACCAAAGGAACG